AAGAAGAAAAAGTGTGGTCAAATGGATTTGAGAAAGACTGGGTTAAGCAGAGCTAAACAGATCAGTTATATCTCAAAACCTTTAATGAGGGCAACATGTGTACTACCTGTTTAATGAAAAACATATTTTGTTCTGTAAACCTTCATCTAAAGTGAGAATAGCAGCACAACTGGAAGAACGTAAGTAATGTCACTGAACTGTGCATATAGAAATTTTTGAAATGGTGTATCTTTGGCTATGTGTATTTTCACCAAAAAAAAGGTTGAGAAGTTAGAGGGTTCACATGTTGTGGGGTTGTTAAGCAATGTCATAAAACAATATGTGTACTGACTGTTCAATGAGAAACTATTTGTTCTGTACACTTTCATCTAAATTACAATCTAAAAAAATTTAAAAAAAACTTTTAATGAAGGAAAGAAAGAAGATTTCGCACTCATAGAAGAATATCGTTCTCAGTTTCTCAAACCTGCTGGAATATAGAAAGCCCTGTTTTTGTGGTGCATTTCATTACTGTTTCATGTAAAACCCTTTTAGGAATGTTAATTTAGTGGTCAAGAACATAGGCTCCAGAGTCAGGTAGATATGGATTCAAATCCTGGCTGTGAAACTTACTAGCTGTAGGACTTTAGGCATATTACTTATCTTTACCACTGTTAAATAATAGTTAACACTGTTGTTATGTGCTCAGAAATTTTCTAGGTGCTCACCACATATTATCTAATCACTAGAACAATATTTGCGTAGGTATTATCTACATTTTATAAGTCATAAAATTGAAAGTCTGAGTAATATGTCCAAATTTAAAGAGTTCCTCATTAGGATGTATGTTAAGTGAATTAATGTATTAGCTTAAATCACATGAAGTTGCCATTCTGTGGTTCAGAAAAGGTCAAATATAGGCAATTTCCTTTGGTTCAGCCTCTACAAAATGCTTTGGGTTTCCAGGCAAGCACTTACATTATAGTGGTTGTTGTTTTATTTGTTTGTATATCTTTGAGCAAAAATTTATCTCTGCTCATTCTCTCTGAAGTCCATTCCCTAATCGTCTTCATGTGGACATTCCCCAGGAATCTGTCCTTCACCCTCATGGTTCTTAATCCTCATTCATGATGATCAGATATGCTCTTATGGCTTCGTTTATTACCTCTAGACAATTATTCCAAGTCTAAGTAGAACCACAGAGCTACAGAATGTTAGATTTTGGAGGAAATTTAGGTATTATCTAGTCAATCCCCTCATTTAAAATATAAAGAAACTTGCTTTCCTTTCCACACATGCATTTAACCCACCTACTGGGGAGAAAAACAGCTGCAAAGTACATTAACACTTTCATTAAATGTGTCCAAAATTGAATTCACCATCTGTCTGCTCCACCAATTAAGGCTCCCTCCTACTTTTCTAATTGCTGTTGCCATTGTTCTCCCAGTCACCCAACCTGAACCTCAAAATCATGACTGATATCTCCTCCAACTCACCCTCAAATTCCCAATATTCTAATGAGTTTTCACTAGAATGTCTTTTCCATCAATCTTTTTCTCCATCCCCATTATAGCTATTTGACCATGTTTCATGCATGTTTATCATTTATTTATTCAATCCTATTCTGTTTCTAACCCACTGGTTAGCAGTGGACTAGACAACGTGGATGACACAAAGATGGGTCATATAACAGATCTTTATATACTAGTTCACCTTCCATCTAGACTCCTGAAACACTTGATTATTCCTTCCTTCCCTACAACCTCAACTTCTCCCTAGTTTCCTTGACTTTAGTCTATCCAATAAATATGCATCTTCTTTACATTGCCAAATTACTCTTACTATGAAATATAACTCCCAACTATGTCACTTATTTTCTTAAATTCCCAGTGTATTCCAATTGCCTTTTCAAATATCATCTCCAACATGTCTTCAAATTATCTTTCCACCTCTAGTTCCCCAATTACCCTACTAATAGCCTAGGACCACTCAAACTGTCACCCTCATTCTTGCTTAAATCCCTCCTGACCTTCTCTAAATGGCCATAGATTGGCATCAAAACCTGTCTAACTTCAGAGGGGTAATGATGACCAGGATCAGCACAAAGCTGATTCCCATGAGGTGGAGGTCAGACATACCTCCACTCTCCAAACTTTTTACCAAATCTGACACCAGCCATCCCTCCCAGGGCACTCTTCACCTCTCCTCTGGGTTCAATACTCCATTTCAGTGGCCACACAGAACTCACAGACCATACTTACATTAAGGGGCTTATTAAGGAAGTAATAGGGTACAACTTGGGATAAGGATCAACAGGCTACAACTCAAGATAAGGATCAGGAAGCACATAGGCAAAGTCTCCCTTCTTCAGTGCAGGACAGCTCTCTCAGCTCCTCTCAGCCATGCAGGCCTCCTCTCAGACCCTCATCAGGACAGGCCTCCTCTTGGAACCCTGAGGACAGGCTCCCCATGGCCCCCTCAGGACAGGCTCCTATTGGCTCTGCTGTCTGTCATCACTGGCTCTGCCACTGGGCCCCTTTTGGGCCTGTCACTGTCTTCAGTGTTATAGCACTTGACCCAGATTACAGCTCTTAAGAGGTTCCTTGCCTCCTTTCTCCCTGCTTCTTCTCTCTTCTCTCTTAGCTTTTTTCCTTTCTGCTTCTTCCTGCTTCCTGTCTTCCTGCTTCTTTCTGTCTGAAAAACTTCTGTGGGGTTGGCTGCATATATGCACAAGCTCCTCATCAATTTCAAGGCACAGCCCTCCCACCAGGGACACAAACCGGCAATTCCTTCTCTGTTTGCCACAGACACTACATTTGCATAGTAGTCTACAGACACTTCATTTGCATGGTTTATTGACCAATCCCTGCAAGGTGCATATCAATCACAGGGCAGGCTGCAGCCCAGGACCAGACAGAAAGTATCAAACCACAAGTTGTTTACAGCTTACCCAGAAAATGTCAATCAACCTGGACAAAAGTTAACAAACCCTCTAGGATAGAAAACTAAGGCAAGAGTAACTTCTCAGGGCTTAGGGGAAAAGTCTCTCAAGCTGTTTTTCAAAGAACTAAGGCAAAAGGCCACATAAAGGAACTCATTTCACCACACTTCCCTACCCCATCTTTATTCACACTATTTCTCTATCAGTTTTCCCTCCTTCTCCATGATCTTAATTTGATGAAATTCTATCCATCCCTTTAGTTCCATGTCAAATGCCAACAATTTCTTAGAAACCATCTTAATCTCTAAACCAAATATGGTCTTCCCTTGCTCTGAATCCTCACAGTGCTTTCTTTTACTTCTTTTATAGCACTCATTGTTTACCTTGTAGTTTATTATGTACCTGACCTAGGCATTATCAGGCTTTAAACTTATTAAGAGATTCATTCACCCATCTTCACATCACTCAGAACCCTTGCATATACAGTGAGTGGCCATGTAGTCAAGACTTGTGAATCCTATGTGAGTTCACATATGAATCTCAGTTTCCCCAACTGTAAAATGGGGATAATACCACCTTTCCGAAGAATTATAGTCAAGATTAAATGAGACAGGGAAGGCAGCACAACTTGACCAAGGCAAAGTCACAGAAGATTCCAAGACATATTCATACAGCTTAAGGGACTGAGTTGCTGAGGCTGAGGGCTGGGAGACATCTCGGTCAATTGGCATAACACAGTTCATAAAGAAAATTTTCTACATATCACTTTGGTGAGTAGCGTCTAGGGTCTTAAAAGCTTGTGAGTGGCCATCGAAGATACATCTATTGGTCCCATCATGTTTGGAGCAAAAGAGAATGAAGAAAACCAAAGACACAAGGAAAATATTAGCCCAAAGGACTAACGGACCACATGAACCACAGCCTCCACCAGCCTGAGCCCAGAAGAATTAGATGGTGCCTGGCTACTATCTGACAGGGGTAAAAATAGAGGGTCCCAGACAGAGTGGGAAAAAAATGTAGAACAAAATTCAAATTCACAAAAAAAAGACCAGACTCACTGGTCTGACAGAGACTAGAGGAATCCCCGAGACCATGGTCCCCAGATACCCTACTAATTCAGAATTAATGCCACTTCTGAAGTCCACCTTTAAGCCAAAAATTAGACAGGCCTATAAAACAAACACAAACACACGTGAAGAACATGCTTCTTAGTTCACTCAAATATACAAGACCAAATGAGCAACACCTGCCCAAAAGCAAAGACAAGAAGTCAGGAAGGGGCAGGAAAACTGGACAAATGGACATGGTGAACCCAAGGGGGAAAGGGAAAGGGGGAGACTGCTGACACATTGCAGGGATTGCAACCAATGTCACAAAACATAAATTTTTGAATGAAAAACTAATTTATACTGTAAACTTTCACAAGCTACTAACTCCTTTAATCTTCAGATTATTCATCTGTAAACTGGAATAATAATAGCAGCCACATCTTATCAGTTGCCATGAAGTCAATTTTGACTTATGGCAACCCCAAGTATTGCAGAGTAGAACTGTACTCCATAGAGTTTTCAAGCCTTTCTAATCTTTCAGAAGCAGATCACCAGGCCTTTCTTATAAGGCACCTCTGGGTGGGTTTGAACACCAACCTTTCAGTTAGTAGTCAAATGGTTAACTGTTTGCACCACCCAGGGACTTCCTAGCTACCTCATAAATACATGTGAAATGCCCAGTACAGTCCAAAGCATTTAAAGAGTACTCAATTTAAGTGTTAGCTATAGTCAGTAGTACACAAGAACATAATGTAGCTCAATAACATGTAATCCTAAAAACACAATAAAAATTTAAAAAAAAAGATTAATTGAGACAAAAATGCAAATTGTTTAATGTGACTTGTAGCTGAGGTGTATAAGTTTTGAGTTACTTTCTCAATTATGGTGTATTGCAGGTGTATACATATGAAATATTCCAAAATATCTGATAACTAAGGCATAGATTTTATTTGAAATAGTATGATGTCATATTTTGCATTTTGAATCAACTAGGTCGGAAAGAAAAGAAAGAGCATTTGGATTTTTTTTACCTTGAATTAATCCCAATAATCCATAGATATTAAGTTTATAGCTTCTTAATTGCTTCCATTCTTTAAACTCATCCATGTGCTTTGCTTCTTTTGTCCAGGCACTTAGCCACAGAGTCTGTCCAATGCCCACCAAATTCTGTCCTATGTAAGTGGCCAAAGTCAGCCACACCCAGGGCCAGCCGAAGGCTTGGAGGTACTTTACGATTATTGAGAACTTCAACTAAAGGCAAAATTGACATAAGATTAGGTTATTGAAAAACAGTGACACGCCAATTTTGATTGTCCCGTTAGCGATACTTTCTGAATTAGCATCAGTTAGATAAACAGCATGATATACGACTTCAAAGCTGTGCTTTAAAGTCAGACAAACTAGGTTTAAGACCTACTCTGACATTTCCTACACTTTGTGATCTTGGTCAAGTTACTAACTCCTTTAATCTTCAGGTTATTCACCTGTAAACTGGAATAATAATAGCAGCCACCTCATATCAGTTGCTGTTGATTCTGACTCATGGCAACCCCATGTATTGCAGAGCAGAACTGCACTCGATAGGGTTTTCAAGCCTTTCTGATCTTTCAGAAGCAGATCACCAGGCCTTTCTTCTGAGGTACCTCTGTGGGCTTGAACCATGAACCTTTCAGTTAGTAGTCAAACATTTAATAGGGACTCCTATCTATCTCATAAATACATGTAAAATGCCCAGTACAGTCCTAAGCATTTAAAAAGTACTCAATAAACACTAGCTATAGTCATTAGTACACAAGAACACACGTAGCTCAATAACATGTAATCCTAACTAAACACCACTATAATACACAACAGTTCCATTTTATTTCATTTCTTTAAGCTATTACATGGCAACCCTCCTCAAATTCAATAAGAGATTTATAGTATTTATTAATAATTCAACATAATATTTTATATTTCAGTGGTTAACAACAAATAATACTAGTTCTTCTGGTGCTTACCCCATCAACGGGGATCTTTTCTTTTCTCATTGAGAACTGTTTTCCTCGATCCAAAGAGGGCCTGATAAAGAAACACAATGTTTGTTTTTTTAAGTTTTAGATCAACCAATATTAAAAAAAAGTTAGACATTCTCAACCACTTTGTCACAAAGTATCCTCTCCTTTGTCATATGCTCTGCTCACCTTAACAATCACCTGTCTTTGCTCTGGCAATAACCTTGTTCCTTTAGTCTTCTCAAAGAGAAATTGTTTCTTTTTCCATACCCCACATATTTTAGGGCCAGGGCATGATGTCTGATTTTTCACTGCTACTTGTAGATAATTACCTTTCCAACTTGGGCAAAATCCCTGGATGCTTTAAGACTAATGCCATCTGGCCATATTATATTCCAGCCATTTTCATCTACTGGGCTCCTGGTGTATCAGGAGACAGAGCACCTGGCTCTCTCTTCTGATATTCTTCTGCCACTATCCTGAGAGATGTCATAGCTTACACAGACAACTCTATAAAACTAAAAATCTTTTCAATTTCATGACCTTCATATGTCCAGGGTCCTTTACCTACACTCACTTTGGGCATCAACTTCCATGTTGTTGATGTTATTGTTAGGTGACCTTGAGTCTATTTTTTACACATAACAACCCCATGTGATAGAGTAAAACGGCCCCATAGGGTTTTCTTGGCTGTAATCTTTATGGAAGCAGATTGCCAGGTCGTTCTCCTGTGGAGCTGCTGGGCGGGTTTGAACTGCTAATCTTTTGGTTAGCAGCTAAGCGCTTAACCATTGCGCCACCAGGGCTCCTATGACTCCTACCGATTACTAACCTAACATGCTTGTTAATATTGCTGTAGTCTTTTCTGTATATGTGTGTGTGATATATTAATATAAATGCTGCTCTATAACTAATCTTTAATTTTTTAAAAATTGCATATATGGACTTTATAACTCAGTATATGTTGTCGTTGTTGTTGTGTGCCATCAAGACGATTCCGACTCATAGCAACCCTATATGACAGAGTAGAACTGCCCAACAGGGTTTCCTAGGCTGAAATCTTTACAGAAGCAGATCGCCAGGTTTTTTCTCCCACGGAACCACTGGTGGGTTTGAACTGCTGACCCTTCAGTTAGCAGCTGAGTGCTTAACCATTGTGCCACCAAGGCTCCTAACTCAATATCTAATGAACATCAAATAATCAAATATTCTTCTATGACAACATGATATTTTGTCATATAGCAACACAATAGGTTATCATTTTGCTATAATTTAACAATAGTAGTTATGCTGGTAGCAGGTTTGTTTTAATTATTACTTGATGAACTTTTTTTTACATATCTCTCGTCTCTTGTAATAAATTCCCATATACAGGTGCATGGGACATGCTAAATTCTAAGTTTTTTGATATATCTACTGTGAAACTGACCTCTAAAAATACCGAATAGGTGTGTACTCTCCTCAGGAGACTGTGAGAATCCCCCAGTTCTCGACATTTCCCATTTTATTTATCAGAAAAAGAAGTGCCTTATTTGATCAGTCTAGTAGTTCTTACTTTCTAGTGTCAGGTACCAGCGTCAAAGAACATTCTCTGGGAGGTTACAGTACATGCCCTTTGTAGGATCAACTTCACCATCAGGGAAAGATACACTATTTAACAGACACTTTCATTGGAATAGATCCTGCTATATGATTTAGGTTAATTACTGTCATCATCCTTTAAGCCCTTGGCACGCTTTCTGTTTGGATAAGCAAATTTAGCATTGGTATCAAGCCAAAAAAAATAATTCTTACTGTAGCTGAACATAAAATGCTATGAAGTCTAACTGTTAAAAGGGAATTAAAGCTTTCTAAATAAGACATAACTAACATAGACCAATAATTTATTGGACACATTACATGGCTTTTCCAAACTAAAATGTTTTGTATTATTTTTCCACAAAAATACTGCATGTGGTTCTGGGTACTTTTTTTTTTTTTTTTTTTTTTTTTATGAAAAGAAGGTTTTATTTGAATCCCTTGAAAGAGCAAATTATTTCATGCTGGGAGAGAAGTTTCCAAAGTGAGCCTTGCTGTCTTTCAGAAACCCTCAAGAAAATTGGCACAACATCTATCTGCATACTTTTGTAAAAAAAGGCATAAAATTAATATATTGAAACCATTATCCCTGAACTGAGCACACAGTTTCAAAATAGTTAGGCACACAGTATGTCTATCTTCCTGTTGTTGTGTGCCATTCAGTAGATTCTGACTCATAATGACCCTATTGGACAGAGTAGAACTGCCCCATAGGGTTTCCTAGGTTTTAATATTTACAGAAGCAGATTGTCAGCTCTTTTCTCCTGTGGAGTGCTGGACAGGTTCAAATTGCTGACCTTTATCTTAGCAGCAGAGCACTTAACCATTGCACCACCAAGGATGCTATACAGTATGCATGGAAGGATTAAAGTCATTAAGAGTGGCTGACGTGAATACCAGAAGAGGGCACTCTAGATACCAGAACAGTGCTGCCACTCTATCTTATTCAGGGAAGACAATAATAGGTATTTAAAGAAATAAAATAATTAAAATGTTCTATACACATTCAGACAAAAATGGAAAATATGGAAACAGTTCAAAATATTTTAGTCCTTATAAGAAAAGTGAACTAATGCCATTAAAGTAACACTAATTTTCAGAAGGAGAGACTCTCAGCCATTATTTGGTCTGATCTCCTTCCTTTCCACTTTATTCCTGACTGGCAAGTAGCCAGTTTTCCCAGGAACCCTTCCATGAGGAGGATTTATCATATTCTAGTTCAAAACACCCAACTGTAGAAAGGCTTTAACTGTTGAGGTGTTTCAGCCTGCTTGTATCTTCTAATTTCCAGTCTATCTTAATTCTACAGTTACTTGTTATTAGTTGCCATCAAGTTAATTCTGACTCATGGCGACCCCATGTGCGCAGAGTAGAACTGCTCCACAGGGTTTTCAAGGCTGTGAAAGGCCACCAGGTCTGTCTTCTGAAGCAGCTCTGGGTGGGTTCAAACCACCAACCTTTTGGCTAGCAGTGGAGTGCTTAACCGTTGTGCTACCCAGGGACTCCATACTAGCTGGAAATAATTGGATAAATCTAAGAGAGAGAAAATTAGGTTGAAAAACCAGGAAAAATATCTTCATGTAATATTATCTTACCAAACAGTAGAGCAGATAAATAATGAAAGCTACAATAACATATAGCTTAGAAAGTAGCAAACTAGAGTAGCCAAACATGCATGTATTTTGAGAAAATAAATAAGGTTTCTCAAACATTATATAAAAATTTATTTAATTACTGTGGTTAGAAAATAAATGGGGAATGGGGTGGTTCATGGACCTACAATAAGGTTAGAATCAATTAGTTTTTATCACAATGGTTAAAAAGTAAGCTTGATGTTGGGTTGTATAAACAAGAATAGTACATATTGGAATTCTAAGGTGATCTTTCTAACGTACTCTTCATTGAAGAAGGAAATTCCAGAATGTTGGTTCCAGTTTGAGTTTTTGCAACCTGAGAAATATTTACAACATATTTATAAAGATTTTTATAGAGATTGAGATTCTTTTGCTAAAAAAGGAAAGAAGGAAGAGGTTCAATTTAGATACAATGATGTTATAAATCAGGAAAATGGATGTAGTGTAGAGGGAAGTATATGACTAAGTTTTACTATTTCTTGGTCTATAATTTTTACACTTTTAAGCAAGCTACTTATTGAGTCCTTACTGAGATAATACAAAGACAAAGCCTCTCTCTATGATTTAGAGATGTGCAGACCCCTGAGCAAAGACATGGGTGGTACAAATAGTTAAAGCACTCATCTGCTAACTGAAAGGCTGGAGGTCCACGTATACCCAGAGGTGCCTCAGAAGAAAGGCCTGGAGGTCTACTTCTGAAAAATCAGCCATTGAAAACCCAATGAAGCACAGCTCTACTCTGACATACATGCAGTAGCCATGAATCAGAATCGACTCAACAGCAACTGGGAGACTATAGAGCACATGACTGCCAAAGCATCTATTTAAATGCTTTTGGATATGCCTTTCTTGAAGGGTTTTAAAAAATGATATTCTTTTAAATGGAACTTATTAAGTTATGATAGCCAAAAATAAATAAATGATGGATTAGAAAACCCTGAGGGCTCTTCCCGTCTCTAGAGATCTATTCATCCATTCAACAAATATTTATTGAACACTAAACCACTAAAAGGTATGTGTCAGGGTTGTATCCTTTCACCATACTTATTCAGCTTGAATGCTGAGCAAATAATCCCAGAAGCTGGACTATATGAAGAAGAATGTGGCATCAGGATTGGAGGAAGACTCATTAACAACCTGTGATATGCAGATGACACAACCTGGCTTGCTGAGAGTGAAGAGGACTTCAAGCATTTACTAATGAAGATCAAAGACTAGAGCCTTCAGTATGGATTACATCATATATAAAGAAAACAAAAATTCTCACAACTAGACCAATAAGTAACACCATGAAAAATGGAGAAAATATTGAAGTTGTTAAGCATTTCACTTTAGTCGGATCCAAAATCCACACCCATGAAAGCAGCAGTCAAGAATTCAAAGGACGTATTCCAAATCTGCTGCATAAGACCTCTTTAAAGTGTTGAAAAGCAAAGATGTCACCTTGAGGACTAAGGTGCGCCTGACACAAGCCATGGTATTTTCAACTGCCTCATATGCATGGGAAAGCTGGACAGTGAATAAGAAAGACCGAAAAAAAATTGATGCCTTTAAATTATGGTATTGGTGAAGAATACTGAATATACCATGGACTGCCAGAAGAATGAACAAGTCTGTCTTGGAAGAAGTACAGCCAGAGTGCTCCTTAGAATCGAGGATGGTGAGACTAAGTCTCACATACTTAGGACATGTCTTCGGGAGGGACCACTCCCTGGAGAAGGACATCAGGCTTGGTAAAGTGGAAGATCAGCAAAAAAGAGGAAGACCTTCAACAAAACGGACTGACAAGGTAGCTGCAACAATGGGCTCAAGCATAACAATGATTATGAGGATGGTACAGGACAGAGTAGGTTTCATTACACATAGTGTCACTAGGAGTTGGGACCGACTCAACGGCACCAAACAACAACAAGGCTTTGCAGGTCACTGTAAGAAATTGGGATTTTACTCAGAGATGTGACTCCTTTAGAGGTTTTGAGCAGAAAAGTGACACGGTCTGACTTATAATTCAAAACGAATCACTCTGGATGCTGTGTTGTGAAGAGCCTGGGGGCAAGGATGGCAGCAGGAAGACCTGTACGAAGGCAATAACAATAATCCAAGTGAGAAATGACAGCAATCTGGACAAAGGTGGCAACTGTGAAGCTGATAAGATGATGAGTGGTGACTGAATTCTGGATTTCTGGATATATTTTGAAGGTAGAGCCAATGGGATTTAATAATAGATTGGATGTGGAGTATGAGAGTGTTACAGATGACTGCAAGATACTTTTGCCTGAGCAACTGACAGGATGGAGTTGCCATTAGCTGAGATGAGGAAGACTGCAGGGAATGGGGGACAGGCATATGTGTGGTTTGAGAAAATCAGGAGTTCTGTTTTGGACACAAAATCTCTAAGTGTCATTTAGACATTAAAGAGAAGTTTGAAGTTCAGAGGAGAGGTCTGGGGCAAAGATACAAACTTGAAAGAAATTAATATATAGATGTTATTTTAAGCCATGAGACTGGATAACACTAGGTACAGATAGAGAAGAGAAGCAGTCCAAGGTCTTTATGATAAACAAGGAACAATTTAGTTGACCTATGGAGTCAGCCAACTGTGGTATCTACACCAAATTGCAATATCCACATCATGTACACATCCTTTGGAATAACCAATCCTTTCAAAAATAAATTCATGATCTTTTTTTTTTTTTATTCAAGGCCCAAACTAGAAAATTCCCAACTATTGGACCCTGAAGTACTTGCTTCTCTGTAATCTATCCCGATTCTTCACTTGAAATTCTTCAAGTAATTTTGACCAGTGGCTGCTCCCTATATCTCTAGCTTCTTATTTTTCAATCCTCTCATTTCTATTAGTTTCCTCTTTAAGCCTCCTATTTGAGCAACTGCTGGCAAAGTATTGGGGGGAAATAACTGATTGGCTAATTTGCTTCAATCACTGCTCATTTTAGTCACCTACAAAAAAAAAAAAAGAAAATGAAGCATAATACAACAAAACCCAATCAGAGTCAAAGCTTTCATAATTTTTCTCAAAATTTCATTTCTCTCTTTCTCTCCTTCATTCATTCTCTCTCCCTCCTTCACTCCCTCCCGCCCTCTTGTTTTTCTAAGCAGGTTATTCAGCTCCTACACTAAATCCATATTTCTGGTCACATATCTTGGCCTGATGATCATCCTAGTCCACTGCAGAATTTTCAAGTCTAAAGCCTATTTGCACATTCATATCTATAGAGTATGTGAACACAATGGGATGGGAATATTTTTGGTACAAAAAAATCAAAGTGGATCTCTGCTACTAAAATTTGACTACAAATTGTTGACCGTCTAATGAGTACACGTTTCTATAAGTAAGTCATATCCATCTCACTTAAAAATTCAGACACATCCACCTAACTTAGTTTAAAACTAGAGACCACTGAGTACACTTTATACACAGGTGGGTGGTATAAATGGTTAAGGTGTTTGACTGGTAATCAAAAGGTTAGAGGTTCAAGTCCACCTACAGGTGCCTCAGAAGAAAGTCCTGGTGATCTACTTCCAAAAAATCAGGCATTGAAAACCCTCTGGAGTACAATTCTAATCCGATGTACAGGGGGTCACCAAGAGGTGGGATGAACTCAACAGCAACCATTTTTTTTGTTTGTTTTATAACATATAGATTCTTTTTATATTATGAATTTTAAATGCTAAAAAAAAAAAAAAAGCAATTTATCAGTCCATAAACTCTTTGAGCCTCATAGTATCCTAATACTCACCTATCTTTTTGTTCCTGGAATTGGTCTTTCGGTATACTTCTGGAGTTGAGTACATTGAATCCCTCTAAAACATGAGCTGTAAAGGAAGATGGTGAGCACTTTTATAGCCACATAAGCAAACAATTAACAAACTAGAGAGAAACATAATGAAGAGTTATTCAAGTTGGAGAGAGTTCTGTGTGCTGGATCCACATGTATACTGGGGAGCCCTTTCCTTTTGCTTACTATCTCCCCTTCACCCACAATGTTTTGAAATGTCTTAAAAACCGAGATCCATAATGAAAAGCATACAGAGAAATTATGTGAAGATCAGAGAGGGGCACTAACTTGCTCTGGACCTTCTATGGAAGGGTTAATCATCTGGCCAAGAGGAACTTGAGTCTAGCCTTTAAAAAAAAAAAAAAAAGTGATTTCACCAAGCCTTGTAGACAAATTTGATTATTATGAAAACTAATTTAAAAAACAAACGAACAATGGTAAATTTTCCCAAATCTCTGCCACGCTCTTTCTAATGTCACCAATAATAATAATGGCTTCTTATGAGGCAAGAAATAATATAATAACCCTTTTAGCCCTCGAAACTACCCACATATGAAAGATACTATAGTTATCCTTATTTTATACATAAGTAAACTGAGGCATAGAGAGTTTAGGTAAGTCACACGAACCAAAGTCATATCTAAAACTACAAGAGACTAAGGTTCAAGTTCAGTGTTGGTGCAAACGCTGAAATATTTTGATGATAAACACTTCAAAGCTAGGCATATTTTTGGCATTTACTAGTACTGATACTTAAACTCTTTGAATTTGAGACTTCTCACATCTGAAAGGAAATAACTGGACTTGAAGATTCCTAAGATTTCTTCTAAGAATTGTATGGTCCCTTTTTCCTAGAAGCAACCATCTAATCTCTAATGGCAGATTCTGGCTTACCTTAACTACCTCTATGAAACATGAGGACTCCAAGGCTCACAGAACGAAAATGCAATTTGAAGACGTTTTGACCTCTCTGATCTAAGGCACATTCTCACCTTTATAGCTTGTAATCACAGTATTCACTTTTATGTACTTATTTACAATTTACAGAGTGCTTTCACATGCAGTCTATCATTTGAATCCCAAAATGAGCTAATAAGAATAAGTAAATTCACCCATATTTTGCAGGGGAAAAAATAAAACTCAGAAAGGATAAATGACTTGTCTAAAATCCTGAGTTGTCAGAGAGAGAGAGAGATGGAAAGAGAGGGCAAGTAAGTGAGAGCGAGCGAGCAAGAGACAACTAGGCCATAAACTCCTGGCCTTCCACATTACATTTAATGTAATATTTAAGAGTTTGGTTGGCCTCTGGCCTGAAATAAAGGCAGATTGGATTCAAATTCTGCCACTTGCCACTTATAATCTGTCTTAACTTGAGTAAAATACCAAACTGTACCATGTAGCCTCAGAAGGCTTAAGGGAGAATTCAATAAACATAAAGCTCATGACTGTATCGACCTACTCAATACCTAACATGTCATCGATATTATTAGTATGCACACAAGTCAGACCAGAGTAAACCTGTAAATAAGTAAAATTTGTCATTAGTGATCTAACATCTTTCTTCGTAAACCCACTTCCCACTTCCTATTGATTATCTTATATAACATTCCATAAGGTGAGACTTGTAGATTTTTCAGAGCTAGCTGGAATCTTAGAGAGTCAATGTGTCCAAATCCAAATTATACTGTAAACTGTACTTTTTATGGTTTACTTTCTGAATTATCTGTTATCAACCCCAGTAGTGAGAGTGACAATGATAGAGGAGAAGAAAGACTGGGTAGGTCATAAGCAGTTTTGGAGAAAGAAGGAGATAAAAATGTGCACTTTTCGGTTCCATATCAGCCACTAGGAAAAACAGATTTTGCCCAAATCCTATACATCCTAAATGGGAAGAACCAGAAGAGTTAAATTATCTTTATGAAGATTCACATAATCATTGAGTGTCAAGACTAGAATCCATGGCTCCTGACATTTGGTCCACTGTTTTTTCCACAATGCTGTTTTTATTTTACTTTCATTGTAGTGTCACCTAAGTTAACAAGAATTTAAACAATGGAAGGATGGTGTACTTCTTAAACAGACACAAGATCAGACAGGATGAACTATAATAAATGAATGATAGATCACTGCATGATTTTAGAACCGGGGACCTAGTCATGGACCACATCTCTGAAACTGCACTCTTCTTCCAGGCAATCCATTTCCACTACACTTAGCAAAAAAAATGTCCTACGATGGAATTTGATATTTTCTTTCCACTTATGCAAATAAGAAAAAGAAAATCCAAACCAAGGCAGGCCTGCTTGCAGCATCTGTGGGGATCTGTGGGCAAGACTGCAAATGGCGGTCTGCATGCCATATGTCTAATTATTTAAAAGTTATAGATTGAAGCAACAGACTCTTAAATAAGTTCTATCACCTACCCTGACAACTATTACCTTTCCAATCACCTAGAAGGCCAGGTCCAGGTGAGAATTTCTGGACTCCCGAGAGTACCTCTGGGGAACGTGGCAGTATTGGACAAGGTAGTCCCCAGTCGAGTCCCTTACCCTCTTCTCTCCTTCTCAAGATCCATTCTGAACCACGAGAGGCCTTGCACATCTGTGGACACCCCAGCCCACATGTCCAGGCTCTGTACATGCCCCCTTAGCCACTCCTCAGGCCTAGGGGTGGTGTACACCAGAAGAGCACCCTGTACTTGGGAGGGCAGACCTGAAGAGTGATAGCCCAGGTCCTAGAAGCAGGCTTATGTCATTTGGGCAAAGGATTCTGGGATCCCAAGTGCCCAGAATATCATAAAGAAGTGACGGGAGGGCAGGGGAACCATGGTGGGCACAATCTCTTGGCCTCTTGGCCAGTGGGTCAGCCAGAAGAGAGCCAGAACAGGAGACTCTCTAAACCATGGAGTACAGGACGGATCACTTTGGCCCAGGTCTCTAGGCAGTACCACAGAACATCACAGTGAAGGGTGAAATACTGCTAGACGAAAAACAGTTTGCAAATTTGATTTTAACAGTTTGGTTCAGGTATTGTTCATTCATAAACACTGAATCAATTCTATAATTGGGTTTAAAACTATTTTTGCCTTGGTCTCTATGATCGCTAATGAAGTCACACTGTATACAGCAGATATTGAGATAATTAGGAAAAAAAGTTCAGTTTACGTTTTTCCTAACTCTCTCATAATACTTCTGATGGTGAGGTGTCAAGATCTATTAATGTTAGCCCAATGTGAAGAACAACCATTCCTGAGCATAACAACGATTGCGAGCATGGCGCAGGACCAGGCAGTGTTTTGTTCTGAGGTACGTAGGGTCACTATGAGTCCGAACTGAATCGACGGCACCTACCAACAACAACAACAACATCAAGAATAATACTGTTTTCAACATGTTACAGTAGAGGACCTGTGTACATAAGAAAGTATAAAAATGCAGGTAAGGCAGGATGTTTTTTCCCAAAACTTGTAATTTAAACAATAGCAAATTTCATAACTCTCAAAAGACGTTGTTCAAATTTTAAGGTATATAAAATACTAAATATAAACTTACACAGCATGTGTTTAGAGCTATATTTTATAAAGTAATACAACCTATGTTTCATGTGGCCTTTAAAACAAATGGCCAAAAAAAGCCATTGGCTCAGAGAATTTCAAATGATCCCATTGTCCTAAGGAGACATAACTCCGCTAGAAACAATGGAGTCAGATTCCCACGTTTAATAAATATCTACTGAACACCTCCTATCTGCCTAGCATGAGGCTACCTAGGCACCAGGAATAGAGAAATGAAAGACCCTATTATAGATAGAATTGTGTTCTCCAAAAAGATGTGTTTTCCATGAAGTGGCTGGAAGGTTGGAACTGCTGACCTTTCAGTTAGCAGGTGAGTGCTTAACCACAGCAACATCAGAGCTAAAACCAAGCTCACTGCTGTCAAGTGAATTCCAACTAATAGCAACTCTATAGGACAGAACAGAACTGCCCTCATAGGGTTTCCAAGACTGTAAATCTTTATGGAAGCAGACTGCCACATCCTTCTCCCACCAAGCAGCCAGTGAGTTCAAACCACCAACTTCCAGTTAGCAGCTAAGCAGTTATCCACTGCATCACCAGGGCTCCTGTCCTAATGTCTAGTGAACTTGACTGGAAATAGGGTCTTGAGAGATGCTATCAGTAAGTTAGCATGAGGCCATTCTGGAGTAGACCAAAAAACCCATTGCCATCAAGTCAATTCCAACTCATAGCAACCCTACAGGACACAGCAGAACTGCCCCATAGGGTTTCCAAGAAGCAGTTGATGGATTCGAACTGCTGACCTTTTGATTAGCAGCCTGAGTTCTTAACCACTGCACCACCAGGGCTCTGACTGGAGTAGGGTGGGTCCTAATTCATATGAATGATGTCCTTACAAGAAGAGAAGAAACAGAAACACAGAGGAAAGACATCTATGTGAAGATGAAGGCAGCGAATGGACTGGTGCATCTATAAGAGAAGAACACCAAAGATATCCAGAAACCACAAGAAGCTGGATGAGGCAAGGAAAAATCTTTCCCTAAAGCCTTCAGAGAGAGCATGGCGCTGCAAACATCTTGATTTCAGACTGATAGCCTCCAAAACAATGAAACAATACATTTCTGTTGTTTTAAGCCACCCAGTTAGTGGTACTTTGTTACAGCAGCTCTAGGAAACTAATACAGCCATTATCTTCAGTCTAGGCCTCGGAGTTACTCACGAACTCAATCTCTTTCCTTCGCACAAAGCACAAATTATTATTTAGCTTGATTGAGTAGGAAAGGAATTATCTCCAAAGTTGCTAGTCATTAAAAAAGAAAAGGTAATTCTTTTATTTAGAATGAATACAGCAATTTGACACTCAAATATTTTTGGATGCCTCTACATAAAATGTATGTAATACGAGGGAGTAAAAAACATTAAAAAATTTAAAAGATAGTACCTAAATAATGCATCACATTTTAGCCCAGGTCCAAAATAGAAACACTTCAACACAATTACGTTTGTTTGTTTGTTTTTTATTTCAAGGCATTAAATAATAAATTTCTCTGATCCTGTTACAAACTAATTTTATGTTTTTATGACCCTTATATCAGGGAAAGTGAGTTAATGGATACGAGTTCATACGAAAAATACTGATACACAACGCTACATTTCTTCCTTTAGACTGAAATTAGAAAAGTGATAACTGGTTTTACAATTATTATCAATGGTGTTCTGGAAAAGTACAAGGCAAGGACCATGATGATCATCTGTACGAAAAACTATCAATGGCTGTAAAATGAGATGATGCCACATCCCACTTTCAGAGCAGGGTCAGGACTGATCTTTGTGAAATGCAAAGAAAATGCTAAATTTCAAACATTCCTGTGTTCAAAACCTTAGGGCAGGGTCACACCATTTCATATTCATAGATATCTCTGAATTTTAATTTAAAATATAAGACTATAACACAAAAAAATAAATAAAACCAATTGCTAATTCTTACAAGTTAGACAAATCTCTCTCCCCTTTTCCTTTCCCCAGGTTCATTTTCTTTTTGTTTCTCTTCATCAACATGTCATATTATAATCAGATCTTTAACTTATTACTTATTAGACATGGATTTGTGCCCTAGTTCTTAATTTAAAAATAAGTAGAATATTTAGACACGTTATATTCTAGACCTGGAGTAAGCCAAACCCACTGTCGTTGAATAGATTCGGACTCAAGAGCAACCCTACGGAACAGAGTAGAAGCCCTGCAGGGTTTCCAAGGCTGTAAATCTTTATGGAAGCCGACTGCCACATCTTTCTCCCTTAGAGTGGCTGGGGGGTTCTAACTGCAGACCTCTCGGTTAGCAATCAAATACTTTAACCACTGCACCACCAGGGCTCCTCAGACCTGGGACAGAGCTTGTAAACCATTTAATCTCTTATTAAATAGATGACGAACAAACCCTGGGGCATTTACATTTTTGCTTAAAAATCATAAATGAGGTTGATTCCAAATGATTCCAATTCAAACTGATGTGTTCCAGTGTATTTGTTTCTGTGTTCCAATGATTCTCATAGAAAGGAAGGTGCCCAGCCCCTGACTTAAGCAGGATGAAGGAAGAAAAATTCATAGTAAGAAAACAGTTAATATGTTTCAAAATGGATAGGCGTACCATATATTTAGTTTATTTTTCCTTGTGTTCTTACCTGTTTCTTGTTCACTGGAGCCTTGAAGCAGATTCGTGAAATTTTTGGTTTTAGCCAGCAGTTCCTGGTAGGTTCCCATTTGTGCTACTCTGCCACTTTCCATTACAACAATAAGATCCACCTGTGGCAGAAGTGTGAGGTTGTGTGTCACTAAAATACGAGTCTGAAAAACAGCGTTTTATACCTTAGGTTACAGAAAATGGCATACACGATTTATTTTAAAGAAAGTGACTTTTTTTTTTTGTCTTTACTATTTCAGAGTGTAATTCTTGGTAGGCAGCACCTATATATTTCATAATGAATGGTGATATGCTGCTGGATGAAAAAATAGTTTGCAAATGCGATTTTAACTCTTTGGTTTATGTATTCTTCATTCACTAGAATTGAATCAATTTCATAAGAAAGACATATCTGTTACCCCTGCTTATTTTTTAAAAAATGTACTATGGCATTAAAAAAAAAAAATGTTGGATTCAAGTAACAATTCATTGTCTTTATGTAAAAATCTTTCCATGTTGATATATGTACTTACATTTAAACAATGTTTTTATATTGGGTTCATCTCGACAAGTAAAGATGTTTGTATTTTATTTACTTAGACATGCATTTTATAATTTTTATACATGTGATTTGCTTCTTTAGGAATGCTGTATATTAATAAATCTATAAACACCATATTACAGAGAAAACAGTACAGTTTTGTGGTCAGACAGACTGGGTTTAAAATCTTTGCTGTTGTTCTTAAGCTGAACAACCTTTATCAAGTCACTTTGAGCCTCGAGTTCCTTAATATGCAAAATGGGAATAATGACAATACTTATCTCAGAGACTTGTTATCAGACCTAAATGAACTGATTTAAATATAAAGTGTCGAATATGGATGCACTTGAAAAATAGTAATTCCTTTCTCCTCGGTCTCTTCATAAAACAGTTGAAATGTTATGGTTGCTATTAAAAATTAACCACGTTAATAATTCCAAATTTTAAGAAATACATAAGCCATAAAATAATCATATTTATAAAATTACTATGTATTACAATACCATTTTATTTAAAATAATCTACTAACCCAAAAGGTACTCATTTTGAAATATTTAATCCCTTAAAAAAACTGTGCTAGTTATGGGGAAACAATCACATAAATTGTCACCAGAGTAAACTTGCAAGTAAAACTTTAAAAATGATTCATTACAATTTGTCTGTCAAAAAGCAATATAAACCACCATTTTTCATGTAAAACTTTGAACGTTTTACTTAAACAAATACAAAATAACTGGATTTTAAGCATAGTTCTATGCAGATGTTACTTTGATGACTAAGGTGAGCCTGACCCAAGCTATGATCTTTTCAATCACTTCATATGCATGTGAAAGTTGGACAATGAAAAAAGAAGACTGAAGAAGAATTGATGCATTTGCATTGTGATGTTGGCAAAGAATACTGAATATTCTATGGATTGCCAGAAGAATGAACAAATTAGTCTTAGAAGAAAGACAACAAAAATGCGCTCCTTAGAGGAAAGGATGGTGAGACTTTGGCTCACTTACTTAGGGTATGTCATTAGGAAAGACCAATTGCTAGAAAAGTGTATCATGTTTGGTAAAGTAGAAAAAAAAACCCATTGCCGATGCGTCGATTCCTACTCATAGCGACCCTATACGACAGAGTAGAACTGCCCTATAGGGCTTCCAAGGAGCAGCTGGTGGATTCAAACTGCTGACCTTTTGCTTAGCAGCCAAATGCTTAACCACTCTGCCACCAAAAGCAAAGGGTCAGCAAAAACAAGAAAAACCCTCCGTGAGATGGATTGACGCAATGGCCTCAACCGTATCCAGGAGCACAGAGATGACACAGAAGGGGCAAACTTTCATTCCGTTATACATAAGGTCGCCAAGAGTTGGAGCTGACTCAAAGGCAGCTGGCAACAACAGCTATACAGATTACCCTTACACCTCAAAAATCCTAAGTGATAAACTACGGTTACCTTGTTTTTCAAAATGCCTGAGGACCCTATCACTTTTTCGAAAAGCTGCTTTCCAACATGAACATCAACTGCAGACAAAGGATCATCCAACAGGTAGATGTCAGCTCCACTATAGACAGCTCTGGCCAGACTTACTCGATGCTTCTGCCCTCCACTTATATTCACGCCCTGCAAATGGAGCAAGAGAGAAAACCAAAAGCAGAGGAAAAATGCATAAATCTCAAAGCACATATTGTTATATCCAAATACTCTATTGCAGCATGGATAGACAACAATCCAAGATTAACACTCAAACTTTATTTCATCCAAGATTTCCGAAGACCCTATTTCCCAGGGCTACTAATTTATACAAGTTAACAGCTACATCTATTTTCTCTTATCCGCAAAAGATGCCAACAATTAAAGAGAAAAGGATTTCCGATTTCCTTACGCTGGAAAGTTGCACCTGTGGAATATTAAACAAAACTTTTGGCTGCCAACCACACACTGACACTAGTGATTACTTTTACATTGACACATAGGAAATTGAGAATAATAGCTGAATTATCAAAGCAGTAATCAACATGTCCTATTTTCTTCTGTAGAAAGATTAGTACAAGTCTTGTTGGCAAAAGTACAGCTCTAAGAAGAAAGAATAAGGAACATACATCATGCCATGTGAAAATTAAAGTTGACATGTACAGCCATGTATGGAGAATTATGAGGTCAGACCCAATTTACTTGATTTATTTTATATTTAGTGTTTACAGATCTGTTTTAAAAGCTCTCAGTGTAGCAGAGAACTTAGCCAATGACCTATAATTGTAAAATGCCATTGTGTCTTTGCATTTCTCTTCCTCTCCTACTCAACAAACATCTCCCGAGTATGACTATATTCTCGGTGCTGTGCTAGCACATGGGATTCAAAGAGAAATGAAACAGACCATCTGCCATGAGGAGGTCATAGTTTAGCAGGAGAGATAGGCACACTATATATACATAATATCTATGTGTACATATATGTAATGCAATGTGATATATATAAAATATACATAATGTAATGTGTGTATATATATACATACGTGTGTGTGTGAATACATATAAATAAACATATTTTATGCAAATAGCACACATCTTCTACATTTGTTTGTTCACCACATCTTCCCCCCCGGAAGATCCGTTGCTGTAAAAAAATTAGCACATCGCATTTACAAAAATACCTTGTGGGGGGGAGGGCACAGATGGAAAACAAACGTAGAAGGTGTGTGTTATTTGCATAAAAATAAGGCGTGTGTGTGTGTGTGTGTGTGTGTGTGTGTGTGTGTGTGTGTGTAGAAAAAACCAGTCGCCATCGAGTCAGTTTTGACTCATGGTGACCCCATGTGTGTCACAGTAGAATTGTATTACGTAGGGTTTCCAAGGGTTGCCTTTTTCAGAAGCAGATTTTCAGGTCTTTCTTTCAAGGTGATTCTGGGTGGACTCAAACTGCCAGCATTTTGGTTAGCTGCCGAGTGCTTAACCATTTGTACCATCCAGGGATACACACACATATGCATGTGCATGTATGAGTGTGCATAAAAACTCAGAAAGGAATCAATTAGTTCTTAGAAGGGGCAGAGGAAATAGTGGATAATATGACATGAAAGGCATGATACACATCTGAAAGACTAGCAGGTTTACCAAGGGAACGGGGTAAGATGGAAAAGGGTGTTCTTCTCTGGGCTACTGGCCACGGCCCTCAATCAAGCTTTTGTCACTTGATTCTGTAACAACATTTTTCTTGGTTCTTTTCTTCATTTGCTGACTCACTGAAACATCTCCTTACACTTTTACTGTGGTTTGAAGATTCCCAAAACCATGTTCTTTCTCAGTTGTCTTCTCTGATACTTCTTCTTTAGTTCCTTAAATGTTAACATCAACTAAGTCTCCACCCTGAATTGTTTTCTTCTCATTCTCTCGGAGGGACATAATCAATTCCTACGAATCCAGTGTCACCCATCTTTAGATAGTAATGTACAGGTTAATATATATTGAGAGCTAACTATGTGCCAGGAATGGTTTTAAATGCTTTACATGCATTAACTCTTCTAACCCTCACAAGAAGGCAATAAAATAGGTATCATTATCATTCCCATCTTACAGGTGGCTTAGCCATCAAGGGTTTAAGTAGTGCCATAGGACCATATTTGTATAGTCTCTTTGTTTTTAGCCCTCTAAACCTCTCTCTCTTAAACACCTCAAACTCCTGAAGTTTAAGGCAATTTTCTTCCCCAAACTGTTTCTCTTTTGTTCTCTAACTACCAAGTCATCTTTCACCCCTCAGGCTTCCTCATTCCCCTCCTTCCATCCTTCACCAAGCCTGCTGTATAAAGCAAGTGGATGTGGTTAAGAGCTCAGGAAGGGGTTCACCACGGCAAGAGTGGTTATTTAAATCCCATTTTTCAGCACTTAGTCACTGCGTGTCCTTGTAAGAGTTACTTTACTTCTTGAACACTCTGTTTCCTAACCTGAGAAAAAGGATTATAATGTCCTCAAACTCACGGATTTATTGGGAACATTAAACAATCAGTGTAAAACATTTAGGAAAAATTCACCACTGAGTACAAACACAATCAGTTATTATCACCCAATTCCTCCTATCTCTGATCCATATTCTGCCTTGTCGTCACTTATCCTATTCATCTTGCTTAAAAACCTCAGAAGTCTACATCTTCCATCTCCAACCACCCATTCAAAACCAAATCCAAACCCACTGCTGTCGAGTCGATTCTGACTCATAGTGACCCTATAGTACAAAGTAGAACTGCCTTCTAGGGTTTCCAAGGAGCAGCTGGTGTATTCTAACTGCAGACTTTTTGGTTAGCAGCCACGCTCTTAACCACTGCACCACCAGGACTCCCAATCACCCACAGGCAATGACAAATTCCTTAGTATAAATCTCAGACACTTATATTCTGGTATTGACTCACCTTTTCAGCCATTCTCCCAATGCTGCCCTCAAGTGACTGTGGCCCTGCCAACCAGACTAACTTGCCCTCTCATAACTGGGCAGAAGCTGTTTGCTCTGCCTGGGAACGCATATTCTCCCTTTCAAATCAAAGGTTGTTGTTGGTAGGCGCTGTTGAATTGATTCCAACTCATAGCAACCCCATGTGACAGAGTAAAACTGCCCCATAGGGTTTGCTAGGCTGTAATCTTTATGGTAGCCGACTGCCACATCCTTCTCCTATGGAGTGCTGGCGGGTTTGAACTGCTAACCTTTTCATTAGCAGCCAATTGCTTAACCATTGCACCACCAGGTCTCTTACTCAAAAGCTACCCACTCTAAAAAGTCCTCTTTAAAATCAGCCTTCCCCGCAGCATCCCAAGTGGCATGAATCATGCCCTTTCCATCCTGCAGTACTTTGTTTACTGGTCTCATTGCTAGGATTGGCAATACTGGTGTCAATCTTTCTCTCTAGACTAGGAGCTCCTAGTTCATCCTTGTATTCCTGGCACCTCATGGGGCGAGGGTGAGGTGGGCAAACAAATGTAGAAGGTGTGGGTTATTTGCATAAAAATACGGTAATAAATATTAAGTAAAGACAATTAGCAATCATCAACAGAGGTCCACAAGAATGTAAATCCCACGAAGGCTCACTATTGTGTACTCCATAGCAGAATATGGGCACATAATAAATAAATGTATGTGGTCAACTGAAGAACATCAAAGGAAAAGTAAAATAAAAGTAAGGGAAATGCTACATTTGTTATCTTGGTTGTCTCATAAATAAGAGGATTCTTTTTGAGATATTCAGTTACATGTTTATTTTAAAGGTCATCATCAGAATGGGGGAAATTTAATTATAAAAAGCAGAAATTATAAATGGCAATAGTATTTCATGCCAATATGAAGCCTATATTAAATCTGTACTTCCTATTTTGGATTTTTTTTTTCCTTTTTAAATTCTTTATAGTTACATACAACTAGATATTTTGTATTATTAAAGATTGTGTTTTATCAGCATAATGCTCTATATGTCTTGACAACTTTTAAGAAGTCACTTTCTGCCTGATTTTAACTGTGGCACTATTTTGTAAAGGCGATCAAATATCCCGGGGTGGGGGGCGGTTAGACAAAACGGGTTGGAAAGACATTCATTCTATTTAATATTTTTGAGAAAATGTGTCTGTAAAATAACAAGCTATGAATAAAGCTGATGTAATTCTACTTAAAGGATAAATTATGATGCATCCTAGTCTTTAAATATTTCCACCTCCTATAATTTTGTTATATATTTTATTTCTCATTTTATATAATGAAGCCCCGGTGGCCCAGTGGTTAAGAGCTTGCCTGCTAACCAAAAGGTTGGCAGTTCGAATCTACCAGCCGCTCCTTGGAAACTCCGTGGGGCAGTTCTACTCTGTCTTATAGGGTTGCTACGAGTTGGAATTGACTCTACAGAAAAGGGTTTGTTTTCTCGTTTATAATTTTGTTAAATAATATATCTTATTTCTCATTTTATATAACAAGTATTAGACAAAAAGAGGCTAAGTTTAAAATGCCTCACAATGGTATGCTAACTCTCTTTTAAGAAATTCAAAGCACTCAATAAAGATTATTTAGTCATCTTCATAACACATGAATGGTAGGCAGAGCCTGCTTTTGTATTCATATTTAATTAATGGAGATTTTTGTCACGGGTTGTAGATAATCTCTCAGGGATCACACTTTGGCTCACAATTTTCTTTTTCCTCCAAACCACTGCTCAAAGTAATGACTATTCATTACAAAAATGAGAATATAGAATAAAGAATAAGATGTTTGGGAAACATATTCTCCTCAAGCAGGAATAAGCAAACATGAAGTAAGCATGAACGACGGCGTGGTCGAAGAGCCTCTTTAGAACCTCACCTTCGGTGCCACCCTGGAGACTGATACTCACGCCCACTTGCTACTCTCCTAGGCTTAGCTTGGTGCACAAAAGATGCAGGAAAAAGCAAAACTATGATCCACTTATTAGAAAGGGAAAAGCATTGTGCCAGCAACTAGAATAAAGTGTGATGTAATCGAATTGGTGGGCTTTTATTCACCCATGTGAATACTAACAACAAAATTTCCTACTAATTTTTCATCCATTTTCCAGATAGTTAGTTATAGAAAATTATTTGTCCTTAATATTATGCTATTTCTGTCATAAGAAGTCTACAATGATTTTTTTTTCTAAAATTATAGTTGCTCACATCTTGAAGTTATCAGCAAAAAGGCTATAAACATTTTATCAGCACAGTGAGTGGAATTTCATTTCTGTATGTGACAGAGTATCTTTTCCTCACTCTTTCTCCAATCTCGGTTTGATCTCCGTTTGGTAACTGCTCCAAATCTGGAAGGAGAGCACAGGCTTCCAATACTCGCTCATAAAATGGCTTCTGCATGATGGAGCCAAAGAGAATGTTTTCTTGCAAAATGCAATTCTGAATCCAGGCCTGCTGGGAAACATAAGCCACAGAGCCCTAAAAAAGAAAGCAAAAGAAATACTATAACCAGGGAAAAGGAGTGGTCGCATGCACCACATTAAAGGAAGACATTTAGTCCATGGTTTTACCTCTTTTAACTTTAAAATAAAAATTTTTAAAAACTAGGTTATTTCTTAAGTGTAAATAATATAGCACGTGATATCTTGTTTTAATATGATCTTACATATTTTTATTTACAGTTCTCCTTAAATGAGTTACTTTGTATTTCTTATTTATTTCCCCATAGTTTCTATCAAAAGTATCTCTCTCAGGTGGATTCTGGAGAAGCAGATGTTAGACAGGGTTTGGGGTGTGTCTTAGTCACCTAGTGCTGCTCCAACAGAAATACCACAAGTGGATGGCTTTAACAAAGAGAAGTTTATTTCCTCACAGTAAAGTAGGTTAAAAGTCCAAACTCAGGGCATCAGCTCCAGGGGAAGGCTTTCTCTGTCGGCCTTCTTCTCAGCAGTGTTCCCCCGGACAAGGAGCTTCTCCACGCAGGGACCCCGGGTCCAAAGGACACGCTCTACTCCTGGCACTTCTTTCTTGGTGGTATGAGGTCCCCAACTCTCTGCTTGCTTCCCTTTCCTCTTATCTCTTGTAAGGTAAAAGGCGGTGCAGGCCACACCCTAGGGAAACTCCCTTTACACTGGATCCGAGATATGACGTGGGTAAGGGTGGTGTTACAGTGTTACAATCCCACCCTAATCCTCTTTAACATAAAATTACAATCACAAAATGGAGGCCAACCACAGAATTCTGGGAATCATGGCCCAGCCAAATTGATACACACATTTTTGGGGGGACATAATTCAAACCATGACAGGGTACAAGATGTTTAGTTGGGACCAACCCCTGTGGAAGAAAAGGAGTAAGGATGATTGGGTAGAGGAAGAAGTCACACTGCGATGCAGACCCAACAAAGCTTTGGCCAACCCTCCAGAAAGCTGTAAAGGACTACTGTCCATTAGAGTTTCAGAGTTTTCCTGGCTGAACCAGCCTGACCTTTAAGGGCCGAGCAGCTCTCTGCAGCTGAGGCCAAATCTGAGGAAGCTGATGTATTCCCTGCAGCCAGGGAATAGAATAAAAGCCCTTTCCAGGAAGGGGATAAGGGTGGCACATATCCATGTCTTCCACATAATCGGGGCTCTTAATTTCATTTTTGATGATTTTATGGCTTAAAATGATTCTTAAAAATCTGACAGTCTGCTGCATAAAATATCCCCTCAACTGACTCTTCTTTTCTTGAAAAGAAACCTATGTATGATGAGTATTTGAACTAGACACCTATCTTTCAAACTGCTCCGTGGACTCTACCCAAACATCGATTTTGATGTACTTTGACTGCACACTCTGTAAGAATACCAGGCCTTTAAAGTACTGTCTGCCATAGACATGTATGTAACCAAAAGCCTTTTGATTTTTACCAACCACTTTAAAGATCAAAGATTAAATTTTAATTCTTCTTTGTTGAGTACGTAAGACATATAATGGCTTTTGAACAAAAACAATATAATTCTGATCTGACCTGATCTTGAACACAAAGTAATCGCTCTTGAACTGCCTTGTGAAGTGAATAACCTTTGATTAGAATAATGTATTAAATCAGTCCATGGGTGAGAGATATTTTGAATACCTGCTGCATATTAGGTGAGTTAAAGGGAACAGAGGATAAAGAACACAGGAGAAAAGAACATGAAAAAATGTCATAAAATATAAGGCAGAAACTACATACTATGTTGGGAGGTATGGACTCAATTTATTGGTATAGAGGTAAGGCAACAATTGATTAGTTTTTCAGAGATGTAAATTTGTCCTTCTTTTGTAATTATTCTTAGTTGCCTTTAACATACAAATGAAAACATGTTTTTGTTTGTTTCATTTTCCATAATGAAACTATAATAGAAATTTTGCTAATTGAAAAACGGCCTCCAAATTTCTGATGTGCCATCAAAGAACACTGAATACTGAATCCTCTGCATGGGCCTTCCTGGTGTGAGCCTTTGATACTCAGAAGAATAGGGGACATGGAAAGAGCACTTAGAGAGAATAGAAGGTCTTAGAAAGAATGCTTACAGAGAATGGGGAGGGGGAGAGTGTCTTAGAGTTTGACCATTGTGATATATACTTCAAAAGAGTGTTCATCTGAACCATGAAGAAATGGAAAGACATACACAAAAGCACTGTGTAAACTCTAAATGTTAAATTGGTCATGTCATTATTATGGTTATTATTCCTTTAGCTAGAAATAATTAGGATGACAATTATAAATTCAGGATAAAAATGGTTTGGGCAATCATCCAGAGTGTGCTACCTCAAATTCTGCCACTGATCCAGACAAATGACCTTCCTGAAGGCCAAAGTGGCCAATTACACAGAAAGATGATAGCTGCTCTGTCTTCTACGCCTATAGCTTAATATAAGCAAAGAGTGTTCTCTCTGCTTTACCATTAGCAGTGGCATTGTTACGATTTCTTGCATCACCATGAGCACTTTCTTAATTACAATCACTCAAAGGTATCAGAAATAATCTTTAAATCTTACATGAGAGCCTCAACAATCATAAAGAAGAGACCGATAACCATAAACATACATAGGGAGCGTGCTCTCTTCCAGGAACTAGGCTAGGTCTTTGTACATTAGCTTCCTCAATCCACAACCCAGGCTTCTGAGTGCATCACTATTATTAATGCAGTAGATGAAACCCAGAATTGATAGTTTTTATCTTTATCAACTCTAATTATCTTTCAAGATCAAGTAAAAGGCTACCTCCTCTCTGATTCTTTTCTCAACTTTCTTAAGCAGAATTTGTTTTTATATTTTCCTTCATTTTTTTTAAATACCTGATTTAAACATTTGTCAAAATTGTTCTTAGTATCTCCCTCACTACACATGTACACCATAAAAGTAGGGGCACATCTTATTCATATTTGTTTCCTTGGTAACTAAGTGTTAGACACATAGTATGTACTCAGTAATTGCTTAGCAAAAATAGATGAATAGGCTAAATGTAAATACAACTAATACGACATTTTTTTATTTTTGTAAAGGACACTCCCTGGTCTAAGAACAGCTAAAGTCATCTTGAACTATAGAGAACTGGCTGATTGCAATTATTATGAAGAACATCAGGATATAAAGATAGTGTAATTAAGGCTAAAAAGTTGTGATGTCCATTAAGTATAATTTTATCCAAAAAAAGCTCTAGCAATCACACTTGATCCTAAAGTGCATAATAGTAATGCTGAGAAAGACAGGAATAATAAAAATAAATCATTAAAGGCCTGGAATCAGGAGAGAGACAAGGATACGAGGAAACCATTATTGTGAGGGGAAAAAAACGAGTTCAAGTTGATTTTCTTACAGAAGAAAAAAAGAAAAACTAAACGTGAAGAAACTGGTTTCAGTTACTTCGATCTTCTCTGCCTTATCAGAGGTAAGAAGCAGGGCTTGGGTTGGTGTTTACCTAAGGGTTAGCTAAACTAGCTGCCATCAAGTCGACTCTGACTCATGGTGACCCCGTGTGTGTCAGAGTAGAACTATGCTCCACAGGGTTTTCAATGGCTGATTTTTCAGAAGTAGATCGCCAGGCCTACTTGAACCTCTAAGCTTTCGGTTGGCAGCTGAGGGAGTAACAGTTTGCACCACCCAGGGTTAGCTAGGTCTATGGAAAAACTTATTGGATAGTCTAAAGTTTCAAAAAAGAAACAGCTGGTTTAAAACTTGTTGAATTCTTATTCCTATAGATCTTTAAAAATAGGACAAATGGTTGGGAGTAGACTTCCCTAATGTCCAAAGGCTGAATGTGAAATATAAGCTATTAATATTATTATTTTGAGGTTTCTTTTAAGTCAAATATCCTACTCGTGAGCGGCTACATGACTTCTTAGAGATAGAATGACCATAATTACTGAAGGAATCTTGCAGTGAATGATAATTAAGAAACCTAATCAAATTACACTATAAATCACATTTGTTTCTGTATAATCGATTACAATTCAGCTAATATCATCAAACAATTACCATAAGCATTCATAAATGATTTGCTGAAGTATTTGGAGAACAAAATGCGATTACTAATCCATCCATACTTAATCACTTTCTGTGGAAATCAAATTGTTTGTTACAAACCAGAAATGCCCATTAAAAACTAGCATTTTCAATTCAAGTTGATAAATTCTTAATGACGTTCATGATGTTCTGGCTGCAGTCTATTACACTAGAAGATGTGGGAAGAATTTAGTGTTGACTTTACCTTTCTTTGGACTACTCCTGTAAGTTTCTCCATTTCCCCCAGAATGGCAGAAAGCATAGATGATTTTCCAGACCCAACTTGCCCTACAATAGCCACTAAAGCTCCTTCTGGAATCTTTATGTTCAGGCTGCATGGAAAAGAGAAAATGAATAAATAGAAGGAGAGTAAAACAACCATGAAAAATGAAGGGTACAGTGAGAAGTTAAAAAAAAAAATCTTGTTAATTTCGACATATTCATCTTCTAAAATATATGGAGCTTTATGGAATCCAATGCAAAAAAAAAAAAAGTACTTAAAATGTTCCCAAACTATGACTTACTCTTTTAGTACTGGAATCCCTGTTTTATCCCAGGAGAAGGAAGCATTTGTAAACCCAATGGCATGATCTAGGAAGAAAAACAAATACAGCCATGCATCTTAGAACCAACTCCACAGGAGTCAAATAAATATTGGGTGCAAAGAGGAACTGCTGACCTCCTCTGTAGTTTGTTTCAATACTTTGAAGCAGCTCCTCAGTGTTGAGAAAGTTTTCCAAACGACTCAATGATATTCTTGTCTATCAAAATAAACACAGATGGAATTTAACTCATATGGACAAACAACTTAAAGTGTTTATTGTGATTTACAACATGATTAAAATTTTTGATGCAAATTGAAGATGTTAATATAAATACTCTGTAAGACTACTTTGAATTCTTTTAATGCTATAAATAAATAAATTCCTTCCTAAACACAAAGAACAGTTTCAAAAAGATTAAAAGAAATATCATCTATACAGGAAGGCATCAGAAGGAACAAAAATTCCTCCTCATCATTCTAGAAAGAGCATAACTGACCAATAAATAATTATAAAAATAGTAATTTTAAAAGTAATCTCAAAATTATTGAATGAATTTTGCCTCTGATAATAAGCAAAATCACAGTTTTGGCAATAATACTATTTAATTTTAGTAAAATAACTATACAAATGTTTAGCTACAAATAGGATGACAAAAATCACATTTGTTTTTTTCTGAAACTAACCTACACAATATTTCTAGGACATTTTTATTTACTTTGTGCTAGGAGATTTCTATTGTTAATCAGTAAGATGGCATTGGACTGAGGTTTTGTTTACCAGGTGCGTCATATCAGTTCAAGGACTGGTTCTTTTTCTTCTTTTGTTTTGGACTATTGTTCCCCTTATTTATTTAGTGAACGCAGCAGCACACCGCTAGTTGCTGGAGAAAACTTTAAGATACCATACTTTTGGCTAGATTCTTATATCAAAAGCAGAACAAAACTGTTACTCTAGTACTGACAATATCTCAGAGAAGTGTGTATGAAAACAAGTGTTAAAGCATCACATCAATGGTACTTCTATGCCCTCTGTTGGTGAGTATATGTAAAATAAAATGAAAAAGGTATTATGTAACACAAATGGTTTAATCGTATTTGCTATTTATCTGTTTCTCTTTATTCAGACAATGAAAAAAATAAATAAATAAAAGCCAAAGTTCTTAGATCAAACAACTGGTTTCAATAAGCAAAGATTCACTTTTGGTTATGAACCAACACTTGAAGGAAAGGATCCGATAGGGATGACCAGAACCCAAACCTGTCGTCCAAAATATATGAGTAAATCTCTGGGCAAAGGGAACTAAGAACTCACTTCTTTGGACTCCCTTGCAGTTTTAGCAGCCTTCTACTCTTTGCGGTATCTAAATAGCCTCCAGGAGCAAGTAATTACAATTAAAGGCAGGGTGAACCAGATATCTGGTTTGATGGCAGCCTAGTATCATCAATGTGCCTTCTCCCTCCTTATTTATTTCCTGGGTAGACTTTCGGATACAGTTTTATACCAAGCCCATAATTATAAATTTTCAATTTAAAAACATAAAATGAGTCCTTTGATGTCATAGTGTAGTATCCAACCAAAACCAAAAAACCAAACTCGTTGCTGTGGGGTCAATTCTGGCTCATAGTGACCCTATAGGGCAGAGTAGAACTGCCCCCTAGGGTTTCCAAAGAGCTGCTGGTGGGTTCAAACTGCTGACCTTTTGACCTTTTGGTTAGCAGGTAAGCTCTTAACCACTGCTCCACCAACGCTCCACAGCGTCCAGCACCAGCTTTTAAAAGCTAAGTAAAATAAACTAACACTTAAGAAAACAGTGGAGCCCTGGTGGCCCAGTGGTTAATTGTCTTCAAATGCTTGAAAGTCATTTTGATAGAAAAAAATATAGGTAAGGAAGACATGATTCCTTCTACTGTCTAATTTCCTCTATTATTTACTAGTTCATGGAAACTAATCTCAAAAGTGGTGTTAAGCAACCAAAAAAATTTAAGTAACATAAAGAAAACAAGACAGAAATAAAATGTCCACAAAACCATAGATTTCAGTAAAGGAATGATTCTTAGTTTAAGGGTATTCTGGACATACCTGGATCACAGCTGAAATCACCACTGGTAAATCAAACAAAGGAAGCCTCAAAATATTGAACAAAGACATAGATGTGAACACTTTAGCAGCTGTTAAAATATTTCCTTCATCCAATAAGAAATAGACTCCAAAGGTGGCCAGAGACACCTGAAAAATAGAGATATATCATTTTCTTCAAATATTCACCACTAACAACATTATGAGGCAGAGACCCAAAACCTAGGGTAGAGAATTTTAATATCCCCCCTTTTTTGTTTTACTGAAATTCAGTACTACTGCTGAAGAATATAAAACATATGTTCAGTACCAATTATACAATCATACATCTTAGACAATGACATCTTGGAAACAAGGGTGCAGCTCCCTTCTTTAAGACATCCCATACTCTTACTAGAGTGACAATTTCCATTTAAAATGAATACAATTATTCTTTTTGCAAAATGGAGAAGTTTTTACATAAAACTGTAATAACTGTTTCATAAAATTAACTGAATAAAGTGTAAATAAACCATGGCTAGCAAAATTTATACTTGTTTTTATGAATTTTATTTGGAAAAGGTGGAAGAGTTAATTTATGCATGAGAAGGTATTGACTACTTATCATGTATATAGTATTGACTTAAGCAAATGCTTCTTGGACCCTTCTGCCAAAGTGTTCTAAATTTAAGTACTTCTTTCACTTCCATAATACCAGCAGGTTTGTTTAAATAAAAAATACTATTTTAAATTATCGAAAGGGGAGAAATATAGAACTTCTCCTCTTCCCCTCAACCAACTGGAGTGGTAACTTTGACTAAAACCGATACTCCAGTTATATGTGGTTTGTTTATCCCTTGGTTTTCACCCATTGCTTTGTACCTTCAAGGGAATTTATACTCTAGTTTAAACAACGTGGGATTTCCAGTGCTTACATGGGGGAATAGAAGGAGCATTACCTCAGTTCATATCACTTTGCTTCCAAATACTTAACTTTGTGAAATGAGAAAAATAATACCTTATGATTATGAGAATAAATGAAAGCAATGTATTAACTTGCTTGGTACACAATGGAAACAATAAATGTTTCTTCCTTTCTCTCCTCCACATAGTGTGCCTTTGGTTTCATGTTAAAAGGGATTAATCCCATAAAGCAAGAAATTTTAGAGATGATGAAACTTTGCAATGTAGGTTATATTTTTTAAGAATTAGGGAGGCATATGTTCCATTTGTGAGAAATTTATAAAGCAAAATACTATATACTAAAAAAAACCGACCAACGAAAACACAGACAATATTTTTCTTTTCTTTAAAACTTGTGCCCCCTAATCTATATAAATGAATGACTGTATTTCTTAAAAATTTTAATTCAGATATAGAAGATTTCACTGTGGACACTTTAATTCCAGGTAGTTGGAAGGTCAGTCTGTGAATCAAATTTGAACATCAAAATAGGAAATATTATACAAACTCACCAAGAATGGAATGCAAGTTAGTGTCAGCATAGAAAATACAGCAAGATACCCAGCAGATTTATGAACTTCTAATTCCTGCTCCCGAATTTCATTAATCTTCTTTTTATAGGAGGGTTCCCAGGCATAAAGTTTGAGGATCTGTAAAGGAGTCAAGACAATGACTATCTGGCAATCAAATAATAAAAGAAATGAAAATATTCATACATACACATACACACACACACACACACACACACTCACAAACGTGTGTGTGTGTATATATATTATGGAGGTAGAAAAATTGGTGTGCTCATAAACAAAAGTAAATTATTCATGTTTTCAACAAAGTCAAAATATTTCCTGGAGTTGTGTTTCTTACATTGTTTTGTTTTGTTTTGTTTTGTTTGGAAGGGGGGGATCACTTAGTCTTACATCCCTCTTACTTACCAGTAGCTTATTCCTGAGCCAGACTTTGGAAACATCCCTGCTCTAGCTACGAGCTCCATGCCAGTTTCTGTCTAACTCAATCCAGTCACTCTTCCTCTGGTCCAACTCTCACTTCTATTGACTTCCCATTACTTAGTAGCTTAGCTCCTCTCCAGGAGCCCTAGTGATGCAATGGTTAAAGTGCTCAGCTGCTAACCAGACGGTAGGGAGTTTGAATCCACCAGCTGCTCTGCAGGAGAAAGGTATGGTACTCTGCTTCCATAAAGATCTATAGCATTGGAAACCCTATGGGGCAGTTCTATCCTGCCCTATAGGGTCACTAGGAGTCAGAATTGACTTGATGGTAATGGGATAGGAATCGCCTCTCCCTGATCCCAATTTCTTCAAGATTGATGTCGTGGGATTTCAAGCCATCCTCTGTTTTGAGATTGCAAACTATTTTCTAGAATGACAAGGATGAGAAGCAGAATCATATACTTGTTCACCGTACATATTTTGGAGGGAGATATACCAACATTCAAATTCCAGCTCTGTTTCTGACTGGCTGTCTGAACTCAGACATGACACTTAACTGCTCAGACCCTTCGCTTCCTTTTTTGAAAAATGGGAGTGAGAAATCTTCTTCTTGGGATTTATAAGCATTATATGAAGAAAGAGCTATTAAGCTGTTAGCACAGTATGTGACATAGAAGATGCTGAATAAATTATCATTATTATTAGAGAGAGGTTTTATGGTACATGTTATCAGACCCCAAGGAAGCTAACTGCCCACTCCTTTAAACTATCCCAATTGATTGTTATGTGGACCTCTACCAGGATTCTAGCCCACTCTGCTGGGATTGCTATTTCAAATCATGCACTTTGCTCAGGTCTTGAGCAAATTTTCCTCTGTTTCACCTACACCGTCCTAGTTCTACTGACAACACACATTTTCTTTTGAGAATATCAATATTTAAAACCTATAAACATACATTACTACATTTTTTTGAATGGAGGGATCATCAGTTAATCCACTAAAAGCTGCAAAATGCATTCAGATCATATTACTTTGGTGTATGTGATCTTAGTAAATAATCTGAGTTAAATTCTAAAAGATTGTAAAAGTACACTCTACATTTTACTTAAGATCATTCTTAATTTCAGATAAATAAGTGTGTATCTGTCCCTTTTCAAAGCATCTTTAATGTAACTATTTGTTTCACTTTAGTACTGTGATGGTTAATGTTATGTGTCAACTTGGCTATACGATGACTATCAGTGGTTTGGCAGATGTTGGACTGGTTGCTCTTCCGTAATGTAATACAATGTAATCATTTTCCATGACGTCATCTGATGTGATAAGCCAATCAGTTGAAAAGAGAGTTTCTTTGGGGATGTGGCCTGCCTCCAGAATATAAATGGATGTTCCGCCAAAGCACCTTCAAAGCCAGCAGAGGTCTCCAGGCTGCCACCTAACCTACAGATTTGGAACTTGCCAGCCCCCACAAAATGAATCTATTTTTATATATACGTGTACATAAAATACACGTATATATACACATATATATGTACACACACACACACACATATATCACTCACTGGTTTTGCTCCTCTAGAGAACCTAGACTAAGATAGTACTTTACAACATTGTAAAAGTTCTATGCAGTGAAATGCTAAGCATTTATTGATTCTAAGGTGAATCAATGTGTACATACAATTGGTAAATTCTATGTATATAATAATAGAGGCATCACATAGGGGAAATTTCCTACACCACCATCAGTGCCAGAAGAAAATTTCATGTGCAAATTTTGTCCCTAAGAAAAATCTGATGAGGCATAATAAAAGTGCAATAGGATTTAAAATTGTATATACATCCACTCCTCACTTATGACATGGTTAGGTTCCAAAGACCAGGTCATCATGCGAAAACTGACTTTATGAGAAAATGGAGGATGACCACATCAGATCACAGAGTGAATCATTCCATAATGATCATTATATAACTGCCAATTACATCATTATGCAACTGCCAAATTACATCACTACATAACTGCCAAACCACTGAGAATCATGGCCCAGCCAAGCTGGCACATAACCTTAACCATCACAGCCAACATTACTCTTGCCTCACACCTCGGCGTTGGTTACTGCCAGATGTACATCGTTAATGTGCAAAATAGTCGGACAGTAGATTTTTTATTATTGTCATAAATGTGAAATATCAGATAATGAGATAGTTGATAAGTGAGGAGTAGGTGTATGTGTATATAAAAGTTCATGAGGTTTCACTCTCTTTTACAGAAAATATATTAGTGGTGTGAATGGGGTAGCTTTTCAAAGGAACACATAATTTGCAACATACTCCTTTTGTAAAACAGCATCTGTATGATCATTTCTATGCCACAAAAAACAACCTGAATGACATCTGATCGCTTCCCCCATATAAATCTGGTTTCATACTGACAATGTTACTGCCACTGTTGCCTGTATCATCCCATCTCTTCCACATAAACTCTTCGTGGTGAAATGAGTTCCCTTATGTGGCCTTTTGCCTTGGTTCCTTGGAAAAACAGCTTGAGAGATGTTTCCCCTAAGCCCTGAGGAGTTAGTTACCTTTGCCCTAGTTTTCTACCTCAGACTGTTATTTTGCCCAGGTTGATTGACACTTCCTAGGTAAGCTATAAATAACTTGTGGTTTGATAATTTTTGTCTGGCCCTGGGCTGCAGCCTGCCCTGTGGTTAGTATGCACCTCGCAGGGATTGGATCAATAAACCATGTGATTGAATTGACTATGGACAATGCATAGCCTACTATGCAAATGAAGTGTCTGTGGCCTACCAAGAAGGGATTGGTCAGTTTGTGGTCCCTGCTGGGAGAGGCCATGCCTTGAAATTGACAAGGAGTTGTATGTATAAGCAGCCAACCCCACAGAGGTTTTAGAGACAGAAGAAGCAGGAAGAGAAGCAGCAGCAAGAAGCAGAAGGAAGAAAGAAGAGAAGAGAGAAGCAGCAGAGAGAGGAAGCAAGAAACCTCCTAAAAGAGCTGTAACATGGTTCGAGGCCTGCAACACTGAAGACAGTGAGAGACTCAAAAGGGGCCCAGTGGCAGAGCTGGGGGCGAAAAGTATAGAAGGATCCCAGCAGCAGCGCTGGCAGTGACAGATGGCAGGGCCAAGAGGAGCCTGTCCTGAGGAGGCCCAGAAGAGCCTGTCTTGAGGGGGGCAAGAGAAGACAGTTCTGGGGGGTGCCAAGAAGAGTCTGTCCTGAGGGGGCTGAGAGGAGCCTGTCCTGGGGTGGGGGGGAGGAAAGAGGAGCCTGTCCTGGGGTGGAGGCTGAGAGGAGGCCTGCACGGCTAAGAGGAGCTGAGAGACAGCTGTCCTGCACTAAAGGAGACTTTGCCTACACGCTTCCTGATCCTGATCCTGAGTTGTAGTCTGTAGATCCTGATCCCGAGTTGTACCCTGTTCCTTAATAAACCACTTAACTGTAAATACAGTCTGTGAGTTCTGTGTGACCACTGCAATGGATTATCGAACCCAGAAGAGAAGGAGACAGGGCCGTGGGAGAGGCGGCTGGTATTAGAATTGGTAAAAGGATTGAAGAGCAGAGGTCTGTCTGCCCTCCACCTTATGGGAATCAGCTTTGTGCTGATGGTGACTCTCATTAACCCCCATGAAGCTAGACACGTTGTGACGGTGATATTCCTACTCCTGCCATCTGACATCCTTACAATAATAGTCTGTGTGGCTTTTGGGATATTTGTATTTAGTTGTTGGTTGAAAAACAAAAACAAAAATACCTGCCCTGTATTTGGTTTTGCATATAAATGCTATTTTAACAATAAGAATTCCTATGCATCTGAAATCCCTCCCCAACAATTACACTTTTGAGATTAATACACACACACACACACACACACACACACAATTATTTTGAGGTACCGAGATCAGTAAAAAATTCATTTGTTGATTAATTTTTTGCCACACTCTAAATAATTAAATCCAAGGCATATCCCTTTTATAGTACCTTAATTCCATGTACGATTTCATTGAGTAGTTTTATCTGTTTATCTTTGCTCTTCGTTTGACTTTTCTATTTAACGGAAAGAAAATAAAAGCATATTTAAGAAAAGTTGGTAATACTTTTACTTATATGGGCACAACCATTCTTTTTTTAAACAAGTCTATTTCCTATATTTTAATATAATGTTTCGTTGAGGAACACCTTCTTTCAGTATTCATAGAATATTATTCTGTTGATAATTTTAGAAAATAGTTATAAACAGATATTTAAAAAACTTAAATATAACCAGCAGTAGAATAAAAGCAGAATGTATACTTGCCAAAATAATAGAAAATATATTTAAGACTTGTTTAAAACTGAATAAATAATATACATCCACATTCTATTAAAATGGGATATGTTTCTAAGAATTCTAAGAATTACATGAACTAATTTACATTTATTTTTACAACAGAGATATCACAGAAAAAAAGTTAATTTCTCTAAATTGTAAGCACATTATCTTGACCATCACTAGTACATTGGGAACTGGAGTAATTAAAATGTATATTTTTCAACACTGGATGTTTTTTATTTTTACAAATACTATGTAATTGTTGCATTCTTGTCTCAGAAGACAGGCCTGGTGGGCTGCTTCTGAAAGGTCACAGCCTTATAAGCCCCATGGTGCAGTTCTACTCCGCGCACACGGGGTCACCGTGAGTAGGGATTGACTCAACAGCAGCTAACAACAACACTGCATATTTATTTAAATGTTTAGTAATTATGATATATTTATCATTGTTTGAATATTGCTTCTTAAAGGTTTCCTATGATAACTTTGCTATTTTTATGTTATGTGTAATAAATTAATACACACGATACTGTTTGTAATCTTTACTGGCATACTTTGTGTTTAGTATACTGGCATGTAACACTGCAGTCTCTGTGAAGGCTGAGGACTCCAGAATAAGGTTCTAAAAAATTCCATTCCTAATAGCTTAATTTTAAATGGCTTTATTGAAAATCCAAAGTATTCTTTTTAATTTGCTAAGATGCAATCTTTATGATTATACACAAACTTGTTATTCTAAATACCGGCATTTTTAATACTTCTACTTCATAATTATATGCTGTATTCCAGTTTTCATCACTCAACACTAGTCATCTTTTGGGTAATTAAGTGAATAATTCAGAAACATATGAGAGAAGGTATAAATTCTTATTACTTAAGATGTATTAAAATAATAAGTGAAAAATACGCCTTCCATTCATCTATTTCCACTTCTACAGGTAACTATTCTTAAAAGACTGGTGCTTTCTCTCCATGCTTATACAAATACATTTATATCTATGTATCTTTATCTATCTCTTTATCATACACATGTTCATAGGTATATTAACATTTTTAAATTGGACTCATGATTTTCTGTACGTATGTGTGTGTGTCTGTCTGTCTGTAGGTACACAAACACACAGACATATGTCCCTGTATGGCGCAAATGGCTAAGTGCTTGGCTACAAATGAATGGCTGGCAGTTCAAATCCACCCAGAAGTGCCTCAGAAGAAAGACCTGGCATTATACTTCTGAAAGATCACAGCTATTGAAAACCCTATAGAGAGCAGTTCTACTCTGAAACACATGGGGTCACCATGAGTCAGAATCAGCTTGATGGTAACTGGTTACTGGTTGTATGTATATAATGTGACATTTGCTGATTTCACATATTTTCACAAGCTAGCAGGGAGTTTTTGTTTATGGAGATGGAAAATCTGGCAGCAGATATTGGTGATGGTTGTACAACATGGTTGATGTAATTGGTTTGATAGTTATGCATGTATTTTCTTTTCCCTCTAATACACTGTCTAATGCATGGTGGGATGCCACTTACTATATTTTGATAGTAAGATGAATGATTCACTGAATGACAAGAAGATAATTAATTCAATTAAGCATTTCCTGTCCACTTGCAGCATGCAGTCACTCCTTGCTCACAGCAACCCACCAGCCTCCTCGTCGCTCTTCCAACAACCAAGCACATCCTCACTTTCAGGCTGTGCACATACTATCCCCTTTGCTTGAGAAACTCGCCCTCAGGCATCCACATGGATTGTTCCCTTATCATGTTCACTTATATATCACATCCTTAGAGAGGACTTTCCTGTTTCTGTATGTAAAATGTACCTTCTCTTATGCTATTCCCTTATCCTAATTTATTTTCCTACACATATTCATAAATGTATTACCACCAGGCATTACATTATGTATCTATTTATTTACTTTCTAGGTGTCTGTCTCTCCCACTAGCCCCATAAGATCAGGAACATGTCAGTTCTCCTCACAGCTGTACTCTGTGTGCCTGGCACAGTGACTGGCCCAGAACGCTGTCCAATTAATACTGGTTGAAAAAGTAAATTAATAATAAATTTGGGTTGTTTCCCTTTATAATCTCTATTTTCCCTATATAGAGCATTAGCTAGATGGTTCTTGTCAACTCAAGTCAGGAAACTCAACTTCTGTTTGATACATGCAACATGAAGAAATCATTTTCTTACTCACCTTCAGTTTTTTTACTCTATTAGCAACTAAAGCATTCATCGGTATGACAAATACAAGGACTGCAACCCCTGCTAACACCGCTGGCCCCAGTTCTTGCCAAAGTAATGATACGACCATCAGGATTTGAAAAGGCGCCGACCAGAGGAGATTGAGGCTTGCTGTCAAGTCCATGAGCTGCTGGGCATCTGCTGACATCAAGTTAATAATTTCCCCAGTGGAAAACTTTTTTCGAGAAACACTAGATAAAAGTAAAGCCTGAACAAAAAGAAGCAAAAAAAATTTTGAAAAGAGTTCTGCAGATTATGGGGAATCTTTATATTCAAACAATGATAACTTTTTAACATCTAATATATTTAGGAAAATTTACAAGGCTATTTTTGTATTTGTATCATTAATATAATATCAAAGGACATAATTTTTAGATGAGGAAAACACAATTATTGATCAAAGTACATAGTTTTACATTTCAGTGTGTATTAGTAGAGAATAACATTTGGGTTTCCAAGCAAATATGTTCACCAACAACACCCTACAACTTGTTAATTGTAGAAGAAATCTACTCTAGATGCTATGAGGCGCCCCTCCATTTGTTGGTACCTCTGCAATGCTAAACAATCTAAATGTTATCAATACATAGTTCATGAATAAATGAATATCTAATGGATACTGATTAATTCATTGTATCTATGTTAGAAACTGTGGAAGATTAAAAAAAGGACAGAATCCCAATTTTCAAGATTACAATCTATTTGTGGAGCCAGGCTAAACACACACACACACACACACACACACACACACACACACACACACGCACGCACACACACTGCACGATGCAGAATCATTTTATTATTAAGAAAAGCAATTTGGCCTTTTGGTCCTGGTCCCAAACCCCACCCAGTAGTTGACCTTTACACAGATTGGCTGGGCGACCCACCAGTGATTGATAAAAACCCTAGAACTCGGGAGGCTCAGATGGGGCTTCCTGACTGACCAAGAGACAAAGATCAGGAGAGCAGCATGTACTTGGATACCAGGGGCCCTGTGCTATGACCCTTTCAGACCAAGTAAGCTGGCAACTGTGATGGCACCAGAAGAAGTGGAGACAATGAGCAGACCTAGACACTGGTAGCAGAATGTAAAGACCGAACCTCTGTGAGAAGCGACCAACAGCTGAGCATGCCAAGCGAAGTCATTGGGTCTCCTGTTTGAAATTTTCCTGATGGGTGAGAACGAACATTGGTTTCTGGGAAGGGTAAACAGGTCCCATTTGAGAAGTAAGTGGGTCTCTTTGTAGACACTGAGGTCCCATGCTGCGACCACTCTCAAACCTCACCCTTTGCTTATCTTCATTCCTGTTTATATTCTTCTCTGTTACTAAAGTTGTTATTGCAGTTGTATTGTTTCCATGAGTTCTCTGTGACCATTCCAATGAATTATCGAACCCAATAGAGAAGGAGTGCCGTGGAGGGGATGGCTGGTGTCAGGGCTGTCCTTTGAGTTGGTGTCCAAAAAGTTCTCCCATTTTAACACACACACACACACATGCATGCACACTCTCTCACATATAGGCCAACTATAAGTGCAAAAACAGCTAATAAGGGCCATGGGAATTTAGAAAGTTAAGATTATTGGAAAAGCTTTATGGAACAAATGGGAATGCATCTTTTCCAACATGGTTCAATTTTACTTTCCACCTGCACATATTATTTAATATTTGTATACTGAATCTAATATGCCACAAAGCATAATAATCAATAACTTCTTACTAAGAATGCTGATAGAAATCCATTTATTTAATTCCCCACTGATGTATCATCCCTGCTGAAATGCATAAATAACTATAAAAGAGGAAGAAATTTGTATCTGTACTGGAATCCAGGCATCAGTTCCATTCATATGCCAACATTTTATGGAACTGCCACTAAATTAATTTAAAGAGAGATTGAGAGTTGGGCTAAAAAAAGAGTAAATGGGATAAGGGAGGCACTCAAAAACCTACCTATTCAATAAACGAGTAATGCGCAGGCAAAGGAAAAAGCCATCTGCAAATAAGTAGGCAGGGCTCTCAGTGGACCTCAGCTCTAACGTTGGCCAGCTTACAGCAAGAGGGCTTCAAAGCTTGGGAGAGCCATGAGGCTGGCGGGAAGGAGTACACAATGTTGAGAAGTTCACGGCATGCCAGTAACCCCTCGCATGGGGCTCTATGGGTGCTGCAGTGTCCAGTCTTAGTTTACATTTCTGCAGCATAAATTGGAGACGCTTTTCTACTGACTAATGAGTGGGACAGCTGCAGTGGTGATGAAACAAGATGATTATCCTCTCCAGAGAAAAAAAAAAAAAGAAACAGTGCTATCCAGTGCAAGCTTCCAGCCCTATCTCCTTCAGATGTAGCTCCTTCACCTCCTCCCAAGAAGTTAATAACCATCTAGTGTGGCAAAGTAAAACAATAAAAATCCAGGCAATTGTCATTTCACTAATCTCTAATATTTTTAACAGAGAACCATTGGTGTCTAATAGAATTTCCATTCAAACTATAATTATAAACAGATGTGGACTCTTTCCTCCCACCTTTCCACCTTTCGATAAGGAAAAGATAAACAGTATTTAATATTTATGATGATACTAAAATAACTGAATTATCCAAGGAGACTTTCCTCCTACAGGAAAAAGGTATTAAACAAAACATGAGGAAATATTTTAATATCTCTTTTTCATCTTTGTATTAAGAGAATACGATATCCATCAACAAAGGATATCATATATAGGAAAGCTATTTGAAACTGAAAACACAATTGTCAAACATTTTCAAAATACAATGTAGGCACCAAAATTCCAAAATGGGATACTATAATAAAATGAATTTTGTAAACCAGTGGATAATTTCAAAATCTTTACCTGTAATTTAGAGAAAACAATCCTAAAACAATGAAATAATGAAAGATAAGATTTAAGGCATGGAGAACAGGTACAGAAAATCACACACATATACATATGAGATATGTATATACATTTACATACATATTTCTTTATATATTTAGAGTAATAAGAAACCCAGTCTCTAGAGAAGAATGCTGGAGTTCCAATCCTAGTTCCTCCATTTAATAACTTTTTGACTATGGGTAAGGTACTCAATTGCTCTGAGTTTCAGTTTCTTCATTTAATATTATGAGTATTATATTTACATTTTATCTATACTTACAATTGTCTATTTACCTAGCATCTGTATACACATACATATGCATGTTGTTGTCATTGTTAGGTGCTGTTAAGTCGATTTTGACTCATGCCAACACCACGTGTGCAGAGTAGAACAGCTCCAGAGGGTTTTCAAGGCTGTGACCTTTCAGAAGCAGATTTCCAGGCCTGTCTTCTGAGGAGCCTCTGAGAGAGTTCTAACAGGCAATAGTTGAGCGCTTAACTGTTTGTGCAACCCAGCAACATATGAATAAAAGTTCTTAAAACAGGGCAGAAAAGCGCTGTGTGTATGTGTGTGTGCCTCTGTTTGTGTGGGAGCTATTGTTTTACAAGAACAAAAGGAAGCAGTTAAAGAAAAAAGCAGAAGACAATTTCTCTGAGTGAAAGATTTCAAACCAAAAGCAGCCAAAAATACTAGCCAAATTAATTAGAAAACAGTACCTCTTCTTATCCTGATGAAATTTGTAAATGCTAAGGATTACAAAGAAAACTCAAGCTTTAAGTCACAATATTGAAAGATTCTATGGGCAAAAAGCTGAATGACAAAGAAAGCATCAAAAGAAGATGGAAGGAATACATAGAGTCACTGTACCGAAAACCATTTCAAGAGGTAGGATATGATTAAAAACTGCTGGTACTAAAGGAAGAGGTACAAACCACACTGAAGGCATTGGTGAAACACATGTCTCCAGGAACTGATGGAATACCAATTGATATGCTTCAACAACACTGGAAACATTCTTTCATCTATGTCAAAAAATTTGGAAGGCAGCTACCTGGCCAACCAAATAGAAGAGATCCATATTCACGTCCATTTCAAAAAAAGGCAAACAAACAGAATGTAGAAATTATAGAACAATATCATTAATATCACATGCTAGCAAAATTTTGCTGAAGACAATTCAAAAACAGCTGCAGCAGTATGTTGACAGGGAACTGCCAGAAGTTCAAGCCGGATTCAGAAGAAGATGTGGAACAAGGGACTGCAGATGTCAGATGAACCTTAGCAGAAAGCAGAGAATACCAAAAACATGTTTACCTGTGTTTTATTGACTATATAAAGGCATTCAACTGTGTGGATCATAACAAATTATGGTTAATATTCCAAAGAATGGAAATTCCAGAACACTTAATTGTGCTCATGCGGAACCTGTTTGAACAGAACAAGGGAATACTGCATGGTTTAAAATTGGAAAAGGTGTGTTTCAGGGTTGTATCCCTTCACCATATTTATTCAACCTATATGCTGAACAAATAATCCGAGAAGCTGGGCTATATGAAGAAGAATACGGCATCAGGGTTGGAGGAAGTTTCGTTAACAACCTGCGATACGCAGATGACACAAACTCGCTTGCCGAAAGCGAAGACAAGTTGAAGCACTTACTGATGAAGGTAAAAGAGTGCATCCTTCAGTACAGATTACACCTGAACATAAAGAAAACGAAAATCCTTACAACTGGACTAATAAACAACACCATGATACATGGAGAAGAAACTGAAGTCGTCAAGGATTTAATTTTTCTTGGATCAACAATTAACGCCCATGGAAGCAGCAGCTGTATTAGAAACTGTGCAATGCATTGGGCAAATCTGCTGCAAAAGACATCTTTACAGTATAAAAAAGCAAAAATGTCACTTTGATGACTAAGGTGTGCCTGACCTGAGCCATGGTATTTTCAATTGCCTCATATGCATGCAAAAGCTGGACAATGAAAAAGAAAGACCAAAGAAGAATTGATTCAAATTGTGTTGTTGCTGAAGAACACTGAATATACCGTGGGTTGCCAGAAGAATGAACAAATCTGTCTTGAAAGAAGTACAGCTAGATGCTCCTTAGAAGCAAAAATGGGAGACTTCGTCTCACTTACTTTGGATATGTCATCAGGAGGGACCAATCACTGGAGAAAGACATCATGCTTGGTAGAGGGCCCACAAAAAAGAGGGAGACTTCAATAAGATGGATTGACACAGTGGCTGCAACAATGGGCTCAAATATAGCAAGCACTGAGAGGATGGCACAGGACCGGGCAGCATTTCGTTCTGTTATAAATAGGGTCGCT